GTCAGAGAGTCCAGCCTTCCTGGCCACCCTTCTGGCTTCGTGTAGTCACGGCGTGGGGGTGGGATCTGACAGCCCACATGCCCTGCCCCAGGCTGGACAGCTCTGTGCAAACCCTACCGGACATCTGGCCAAGCAAGCAAGGCACTCGATGAGCCTGGCCAGTGGGCGGCAGCCAGTGTCCAGATGCCGACAGCCTGTGTGTGGGCAGGTGGCTGACTGCGCTCCTGGCGGCGTGCCCGTCTCGGCGGCACGGAGCTGCAGTTGCCCACTTCCTCCCAGAGCCCTGGCGGCAGAGCCCAGGCCAGTCCGTGAGGGCGCTTCCCGGCTGGAGGGCCCAAGGGATGCCACCTGAAAACGTGGCTGCTCACTCGCTCAGGGAAGGCTGACGAGCGGGCCGGAGGTGTGGGTGTGTGCACAGTTGGAGCATGTACGTGGGGTGTGGGTGTATGCACAGGGTGTGGGTATGTGCATGTGGTATGAGCGTCTGTATGACCCTCCTCACCCAGCGCCCTGTCTAGCGGGTTGGGAGGTGAATAGGAGGCAAGCCAATAAGAAAAACAGTCTCGCTGTGATGAGAAAGCAGGCTGCGGGGAGCGGGGAGGCCTCCCTGAGGAGATACACGGGGACCTCTGGCGCCAGCGGCGGGAGCGACATTCCTGGTGGAGGAGACACTGCAGGCAAAGGCTCCTCTGCTTGCTTGAGGCCCACTGGGGTTCATCTACTTTCCGGGTGGCCATGGGGGCTGGAGGGGGCGCGGGGACACGTGGGTGGGGCCCGGGTGAGGAATGCATTTGGCGTGTCAGCCTCAGCATCACGGGCAGGAGCTGTGGCCTGTGTTTAAGCTGCATGGCACAGGGACACGGTCACAGGCGTCACTGAGCACAGGAGTGGGAAGGGCAGTGGGTGGGAAATGACAAGACCCACAACCTCCCAAGACCACCTTGCTCTTAGAAGCTGCCTGCAGAGCGGGGACGGGAATGTGGGACCTCCAGCAGGGGTTCCTCCAGGGCCCGCCCTCCCCAGGCACCAGGCTATCTCCACCCGTGGGCTCTGCAGTCACAGGCAGCCAACCCTGGACGCCGGTGTCAATGGGTTACTGGCAGCTGAGGAGTCCAAGCCGCTCCCCCTGCACTTGGCGGGTTTCCCAGGGGCTGGGAGCATGGCTGATGACTCCGATCCTTTGAGAAATGTCTACATTTTTACTGTTTAGTGTAAGATTTTTTTTTGTTTGTTTTTTGTTTTTTAAATCAATGCTTCTGTAAGTTCAGGCTTTTCCCTTCCCACTCCCCCAGGAGCTGGTAAAGGCAGCCCTCCCAGCTAACAATGGGAAATTCCTGGAGCCGGGGCGGGGGCTGGGACTTGCCGTCTGCACAGGCTCTTCTGTCCAAACGATAGGATGAGGATGACAAACTCTGACCCAGGCCGCATGACTGAGAACCTGTCGTCTTCATTTCCCCAAATTAAGTCTGGTTTCTCGGCTGGCGAGCTTTGCCGCGGGGATCATCTGTCTCTGCGGCCTGCGGGGCAGGACTCGCCCTTCCTCCTGGGGAGAGGGAGCTGGTGCTGGTGCAGAGGGAAGCTGCTTTCCAGGGCCCGCGGAGGCCGGCCGCGGAACCCCGCGTGGCTGACCCTGGAGACAAACAGCTTCCTGCGGCCGTGAGCAGACAGGGGGGAACAGTGGCACAGGCTGCCCCAAGGCCAACAAGCAGGGCATCAGGGCCGGCCCCCCTCCAAGGCCAGCAGGGGTCGCCTCGCCGCTGATGTCGCTCAGCCACCCGCCCACCGGCCAGGAGAAGCCCTGCCCTGTCCCAGGTTAGGGCCGAGTGTGCAGTCAGGACCCCTGGATTGGGAGCAGCGGGTTTCCGGAAAAGGCTGAGCCTGCTCGCTGACCGGCACCGCCTCGCAGGGTCGCTGTGCAGGCTCCCTAGAGGGACGATGCTGATGTGCTGTGATCTGGCCTCAGCCACCAGCAGCTGCCACATCCGCTGACCACCCCTAGGGGCCTGATGGTGTGTCCAGAGGAATGCAGAGGCTGGGGCTCCCTGTGGGTGGGGACAGAGAAGAGCTGGAGATGGGGGATTCCCCAGACCCCTGTGCTGGCCTGGGAGGTGACAGTGGCCACCATGGTTCTCAGCTCCCTCACTGGTCTGTGCTGGGCTGCTTGGTATGGCCACCGGCATGTGGGGGACGAGGGGGAAGCTGGAGGTCTGGGGACAGTGTTCAATACAGAGGTGCTGACAGGACAGCACCCTGCTTGGCAGCTCACGCGGGCTGCAGGCCTCTCGGGCTGGAGCTGGGCATCTGTGCACCTGAAAATTTCCACTCTCCTCTGGATCCTCATTGCTGTCTTGGCAAAGATGGCTTGAACCTGAAAGCTTTCCATCTATCCTAATAATAAAAGTGTAATACGCAAATCGACCAGATGGCGGAACAGCGGAATGACCACCCGGATGACAAATCCCGGACCACGCTATGGCCAGGCCAGCCAAGGCGGCCGCGATGTGATTGGCCAGGGGCCCGGCCTTTGCCCGTGATTGCCCTGCAGAGGGAGGCCCGGCCACTGGCTGGCGGGCCGCGGCGTGTGGGCGGGGCCTCCTCTGCGAGGGGAGCCCGGGTCCCAGGTGCTGGAGGGAGGCCGGTGCGGTGTCCGGGGAAGGAAGGCCTACTCTTGCACAAATTTCATGCATTGGGCCTCTAGTTTTTAAATAAATGGAATTCCTGTCACTTGCATGGAATTCAACCCTACTGAGCATGTTTACGACTTGCTTCATCTGAGCTGCAGGTATGCTGGGGGGACACCAGACAGCTGACGATGGACAGGACACAACACTGAAGACGTAGGTGACCAATGCGCCAGCTCACTGGAAGGACATGCAACAGAGGAGGCAGAGGCTCATACCTGACGCAGGCGGGCCTCCGGAATCTACCAAGTGCCTTTGCAGATGAGAGGAGAGAAGGTTCCAGCATTCCCCGCCCCCCCCCCCCCCCCCCAGCCAGGCTTCCTCCGGAGGGGCCTCCATCTCCCCCTCCCCCAGCATCGCTATCTTTCAAGGGCTGTCCCGGAAGAGCCTCCCCTGGGAGGGACTGGCCTGTCTCAGGGGACCTTCTGGAGTTTGACATCTGAGTTGCGGTCACTTGGTCCAGCCCTCTGAAGAGTGAGAGTGAAGGTCGCCCAGACGCCATCCCTGTGGGCCAGCTGTGCGGGAATGCAGAGCGCCCTCCTTTCCTTTTGGCCCCCCCCACTCCCCCCCCCCCCCCCCCCCGCCATGGACCAGGCTGGCGCCTCCTTCCTCAGCCTGGGCTCTGCAGGGGTGCAGGCCCTGGCACTGGCCACTGGCAAGTAGGGGGGAGGGGGGTCAGGATGTGGCCCCTGGGACCTGCCCTATGCACAGTCCAGCCCCAGCATGTTGGATGACTCACAAGTTAGCGCTGTGCCTGCAAGGACCACTGTTTTCTGTCGAATTAAAAAGAAAAACCAGGCCACTTGGCTACTAGCTTTGGAGGCCAAAGGGTAGGACTAGAGCTGTTTTTAAGCCAAGTTACCAGTGAGGACAGCGACCCATGGACAGGCCTTTACTTAGCAGCCCCTGGTGCTGGGCAAATGTGGGAAGAGGTGGGGGGCTTCAGCCCCTGCTGCTGCCCTGACCTCTGCCCCTGCCATCACCACTGCCCCTGCCATGACCTCTGCCCCTACCATCACCACTGCCCCTGCCATCACTGCTGCCCCTGCCATGACCTCTGCCCCTACCATTACCACTGCCCCTGCCATCACCACTGCCCCTGCCATGACCTCTGCTCCTGCCACGGACCTCTGCCCCTGCCATCACTGCTGCCCTGCCATCACCGTTGCCCCTGCCATCACTGCTGCCCCTGCCATCACTGCTGCCCCTGCCATGACCTCTGCCCCTACCATCACCACTGCGCCTGCCATGATCTCTGCCTCTGCCACCGACCTCTGCCCCTGCCACCACCGCTGCCCCTGCATCACTGCTGCCCCTGCCATCACCACTGCCCCTGCTCAGACCTCTGCCCCTGCCACCACCGCTGCCCCTGCCATCACTGCTGCCCCTGCCACCACCGCTGCCCCTGCATCACTGCTGCCCCTGCCATCACCACTGCCCCTGCCATCACCGCTGCCCCTGCCATCACTGCTGCCCCTGCCATCACTGCTGCCCCTTCCATCACCTCTGCCCCTGCCATCACTGCTGCCCCTGCCATCACTGCTGCCCCTGCCATCACTGCTGCCCCTGCCATCACCTCTGCCCCTGCCATCACCGCTGCCCCTGCCATCACCTCTGCCCCTGCCATCACCTCTGCCCCTGCCATCACCGCTGCCCCTGCCATCACCTCTGCCCCTGCCATCACCGCTGCCCCTGCCATGACCTCTGCCCCTTCCATCACCTCTGCCCCTGCCATGCGCTCCAGCCGGGCCTGAGTTCTGGCTGCCCCCTCGTGCCACCCCCCTGCCCGGTGGAATCCTCGCTCTTCAGCCAGGTCTGCAGACACAGCCCAGGCTTCCAGGGACCAGTCTCTCGCTCGGACCACTGTGCCCACGGCCGGCCATCTCCTCCAGGACCCCTCCTCCTAAGAGGTTCAGGCCACCTCTTAGGAATCCTCCCCTGACCTTCCCTGCACTTGCAAGGGTCAGTGTGGTGGGGGTGGGGGTGCCGGTGCAGAGGCGCTAGGCCCGCGCGGGTGTGTGTGCCTGGGCGCCCACCTCCGAGGTGGCCAGGGGGCAGGTGGCCAGGGAGCGGAGGGGCCTGGCACCGGCGCTGGGTTCCCTCCCTCCCGCCAGCGGCTCCGCAGGGGTTAACGGGGCGGGGCGAGGCGGAGGGCGGAGCGCGGCCTCCCCTCCTCCCCGGCTCCCTCCTCCCGCCCCCCGCGAGGCCCGGCCGCCGAGCGGAGCCGCCGCCGCCCCCGCCGCCCTGCCCTGCGGCTCGCGGGCCGGGGGCCTGGGCTCGGGCGCCCCTGGCCGCCCCTGAGCCGCCGCCGCCCGCACCATGGTGCAGAAGCCGCGCAACGGCGGCGTGTACCCCGGCCCGAGCGCCGAGAAAAAGCTCAAGGTGGGCTTCGTGGGGCTGGACCCCGGCGCGGCCGACAGCACCCGCGATGGCGCGCTGCTCATCGCCGGCGCCGAGGCCTCCAAGCGCGGCAGCATCCTCAGCAAGCCGCGCGCGGGCGCGGGCGCCGGGAAGCCCCCGAAGCGCAACGCCTTCTACCGCAAGCTGCAGAACTTCCTCTACAACGTGCTGGAGCGGCCGCGCGGCTGGGCCTTCGTCTACCACGCCTACGTGTGAGTGCGCCGCCGGCCTCGGGCGCGGGCCGAGAGGGGTCGGGGGCGCCGGGCCGGGAGGAGTTCTGGGGTGCGGGCGCCTGCCCCCATCTCCTCCTCTCCCCCTCCCCCATGCGGCTTGGCTGGGCTGCCTCCGCCCCTCCCCTGCGGGATGGGGTTTGCGTAGCCCAGCCCCCCTCCCCTCATCGGCCCGAGAGGCCCCTCCCCACGGCCATTGCACCAAACAAAGGCCTGCGGGGAGGGAGGGCGGCGCTGCCCGCTAGCCTCCGGCCCTGGACTCCAGGGTCCCCCTGGGCTGGGCTCCCCCAAAGAGGGGTTGATGGGGGAAGGGCTGGCCTACCTTCCCCAGCCCCCCAGCGACTCACTCCATCTGCGGAGAGCTTCTGGGTTGCTGAAATGGGGGGGGGGGTCCTAACGTGACCTCCCCCCCCCCAACTCGAAGCTCAGAGAAGTTGAGTCCTGCCCCCGTGCTTGCAGCTGGCCACCCTGCCTGCATCCCTGAATCTCCCTCCCCCTCCCTCCCCCCTCCCTCTTATCTCCCCGCCCCCCCCCAGGGTGCTGCTGCAGGGCCTGCCAGCCCTGAGGGGTGGCTGGTGCCCAGGCTGGTGCCCAGGGGGTTCCTGCCCTGGGGCAGGGCCAGTGGCCTCTGGCTGGCGTCTGTGCACACGAGTGTCGTGGCGGTGTCCGTGAGAGCGCCTGTGCCTGTGCCCCCGGCAGGGCTCTGGAGCGCAGGCACCTCCGTCCCAGCCAGACCGGCCGCTCAGCCATTTTGTGTGAGACGCGTTTTGGGACAGGATGAGGGGAGGTTCTGGGAGGCTGCCTCCACCCCGCCTGGGCGAGGGGTGTGTGCTGTGCGTGTGGCCCTGAGTGTGACCAGGGGCCTGGCCATGGGAATGGACAGAGCCTCCGTGGGATGGGGCCGTGACCCTGGGAGGGAAGTGCCAGGCTGCTTGTGGGAGGGTGTCCTGGGCCCTCTGTCCAGCCTCAGCACCCAGCTTCTGGGAGTCCCAAGCGTCACGGACGCCTGGCCTGGCGGCGCCCGGCATGGCGAGCCAGCCCAGAGCACAGGCGGCATTGCTCTTCCTGGGCGGGCTGCTCAGAAGTGCTCTCAGCCTCGGGAGCCCAGGCCTGCTCCCCAAGGACCTCCGGTGGGACAGGCTGTGTTTATCCAGGCCCCGGCCCAGTGACCTCGGGACACGCACAGCCCGGCCCCACGCCCAGCAGGTGCCGGAGTTTGCCATGCTTTGGCACAGATGTGCCTGGCTGGCAGCTTTCCTGGGGTCCCCTCTGGTAGTCTCCCTGCTTGGGCCTGACGTGGTCGGCTCTCCTGAGAGCGCAGTGTTCAGGAGGAGCAGGCGTGCGGGGACCCTGGGCCAGGCTCTGCTCCTGTTTCCTCTCCGGGCAGCCCTGGATCAGGACGTGGGGGCCTGCAGCGTGGGGGCGTCAGTGGCATTAGCCTCACTGCCAAGGCAGCCCTGCCTGCAGCCTGCTCAGGCCCTCCTGGGCACGAGCTTCCGAGCTCCCCTTGCCTCCAGCTCACCAGTGGAGGGCTCAGACCAGGGAAAGGCTGCTCAGTGGTAGGCGGTGTCTCCCGGGGAGTGGGATGGCAGGAGGGGTCTGTGGCTGCTGTTGGGTTAGGCGCTGGAGTCTAGTCTTTGTAGGCCTCAGTTATGCTCTCAGTGAAGTGGTCCAGAGGGTCTGGGGGAGAGGAACTCCAGGGCCGGTGCGGTATGCTCTCCCCACGAGGCCTGCTCGTTGCCTATCACCCTGTGCCCAGGTGTGGAATGCCCCTCTGCCTGTGCCGCCACCCACAGCCCCCCCCCCCCCCGAAACAGGAGCTTCACTGCCCACTGACCCCGAGGGTGTGGCGCCCGATGTCCTGCTCCCTTGCCCAGCTTGGGCTGACAGCCTGACTCATGTTTTGGTTTGTGGATTCCTTAATTAAATGAAGGGTAAGCTCCTCCTCCTCTTCCTCCTCCTCCTCCTCGCCCTCCGTTCTGTGCGGGGTTCTGCGTTGGGCTTGGAAACTGGTGATGGTGGGGACATGGTCTGGGGCTGCAGTGCTCGTGGAGTCCCATCCTGGGCCTGGGGCAGCACTGAGCCCTCCTTGATCACCCTTTAGCCTTTCGTCTTCACGCTGGTTCTGGAAGATGGGACTGTCCCAGGGATCTCGGGGGACAGCTGCTGCCAGAGGTGGGAGGGAGGCGACTGCCCTGTGGACTCTGGGCTTTGTGGGCCTCAGACCAGTTCCCCCTCCTGCCCACCCCCTGCCAAAGGGGCTCTCTGCAGACGTGCTCCCTGGCCGCTGAGCTTTGCCAGAGGCACTCGAGACAGGAGCCTTCCCTGAGTTTGGGGGGGGGGGTGTATGGGCCAGCCTTGGCAGAAATACCTGGGTCCCCTCCCCAGCCCCGAGGCCCGGGAGGGTCCTTCCTCTGCTGTGCTGGACGGAGAGTGGGCCCCAGCCGAGGCGCCCGAGCACACCTGGGCTCAGGGAGAAGCTGCGGGTCGGGTGGGATTCTGGGAGGGCAGCTTGAGAGTTTCCATGGCTCCCTCAGTGCTGCCTCCCTCAGGTGTGGCCTCAGCAATGACCCCAGCAATGCCAGGCCCTCCGTGGGGAGCCCAGGAAGTGCTCCGCCCGTGCCCACCCCTCACACCACGGGCAGGGCCTCGGGCCCTGAGTTCTGTGCACCTGGAAGTGGGGGTGTTAGAGGATTCTCGGGTCCAGGGTCTGGAGTTTGCAGGGGTTTTCCAAAGGGGCTTGAGGATGTGCTTGGGAGAGGGCCTGGGAGGGTGGGGACTGCGGGCCCTGGGCCAGCCTGGCCGGGACCCTGCCTCCACTGACGCCCCCAGACTTCAGCCCTGAGTTTCCTCGTCTGTAATGTGAGGGTGATGATTCTGTGAGTCACTCAGCATAGTGCTGGGTGCGTGTGGCGGTCACGCAGCTCGTCCCCTTGACTGGTTCAGCAGGCGAGGCCTCGTCCTGAAGGGGTGGAGGGCGCAGCAGGCAGGGCTGGCGTGGGCTGACAGCGTCCTCAGCCTCCCGCCCTCGGTCCTGCCCTGGCCAGTTCTCAGCCGGCAGCCAGCACTGGGCCTGAGGGAACGCCTTACTGTCTTTTGAAAAAAGAAAGTCTTTTGTTGTAAGATCTGCAGGCAAGGAGGTGGTGCTCACATCCCCCACCCAGGCCTCCGGTGGATTTGAGGGTTTCAGCACCGGTCTTCCTGGACAGCGCACTGCACTTCTGAAAGACTCAGGCCCCCATCCCGTCCTAGCTCGGTGCTAGCTGGAGGCTCTGGCGCTGCCGCTGAGGTCCGCAGTGTTACCGTAAGGTGTCCACGGTGTGACTTGTGAGTGGGTTCACAGGTGTGACTCGTGAGTGGTGTACCCAAGGTTTCAGCTTTGGTTTTGGGTTTTGTTGGAAATAGGACAGGGTAGGTTTGAGCTGGCTCTGTGGTTGCCAAGGGGTTCGACATGAGGGCGCCCTTGGACGAGCGTCAGGCCCAGGCTGCTCTCCTAAGGAGACTGAGCTCGGCGCTGCCCAGGCATTGGGAGGCGCTCCTGCTCTGCTGATGGCAGACGTTCTGGCATCCTGAGCCTCCACAGAGGGAAACGCACCGCTGGGGGCAGCTTGTTCCATGACCCCCTGGACCGTGAAAAACACCACGTGGGCCCTGGGACACGGCTCCCACGAGGGCTGTGCTGATTTGTCGTGTGGGCCGCGAGGCTGAGCCCACTTCAATGGACCTGTCCCAGGAGCGTGGGGGATGCCGGCCGGGGGCTGGCGCTCAGCTGAGCTTTCCGACGACAATCTGCGGCGGCGCTGGCAGCCTCTGCCCCGCGCCTCCTTCGCGGCAGAGCACAGGCACCGGCGGCAGAGGAGTGCACGGTCCCGTGGTGACCGCAGGGCCTGGCCAGCCCTCCCTACAGAGCCCCAGCAGCGGTCGGGTCCAAGGCAGGAAGAAGAGAAGCAGACCCAAGTTTGTCCCCCAACAACGCCGCCATCCACGCTGAGAAACGGCGTGCTGCCGCCCCACTCAGGCCTGCCCTGCCCAGGCCCCGCCCCGCCCCTCGGAGCCCAGACCAGGGTCCGCAGGCGTGCGTCCCGCTGACCTGTCCGCCCGCTCCCCTGGCGGCTGGCACGGCAGTGAGCTTGTTCTTGTGAGGTGGGTGCGTGCAGGAGGGGCCCGTGCCAGAGGGAAGACTGTTTCTAGAGCCGGGCATCACTCACGTGAACTGAGAGTCCGAGGGAGGCTCCGGCCCTCCATGGAGCACATGGCTGGTCTGTTGCTGGGTGGGGCTGGGGGTTTGTTATTTGAGCCGGAGACAGACCATGCTGTTTTGTGGTGGTTAATCCTCCGTCGAGGATATCTTCCCATTGATTTTTGGAGAGTGGAAGGGACGGGGAGACAGAGAGAGAAACATTAACGGGAGAGACACATCAATTGGTTGCCTCATGCACACGTCCCAACCGGCATCGTGTCCTTGACAGGGAATCAGATGCTTCAGTGCGGGGGCTGATGCTCTCACCACTGAGCACAATGACCAGTGTGTAGACCATGCTTTTAATTCTCCCGGGAGAAAATAGGGCTGAAGACCTTGAGGGTCTCGGTGCCCCTGGGATGGGTGCGCCCCGGCCCTGCCCGGGCCTGCACTCCGGAGGTTCTGCTGGACCCCCATGGGAGCTGTGAGGATAACTCTGCAGAAGAATAAGGTGCTTCTAGCACAGTTTGCCTCGGGAGGTCTGTGTGGCTGTTCCTCGCTGGAGTGCCGGGCTGGTGGCACCGGAGCCTGCGCTGGGGGCGGAGGGAGGGATGCGGGCCCCAGCGGAGGGTTCCTCCTGGAAAAGCGGGTCTGGGCTCTGGTAGGTGTGGGTCAGTCACGGGGTCTGGAAGGCGTTTCTGGCTCCCTGTTCTTCAGGGACCGGTGAGAGTGACGCCTCTGGGCTGATGGGTGCTGGAGCTGGATGTGATTCCTCAGCTCCGGGATGTTGGATGGTGTTCCT